ACCATGGCTAAAGGTGTCAAACGCTCGCTAGCAAGACCTCAATTTTTTCCCAGACCCGTAGCATCCTATTTGCCATCAGGCAGAACTTCTGTGAGTTCCCATATTTTGCTAACCATGGTTTTTTGACTAGGATGTCTTGAATAAACCACCTTTGGCTGGACTCATGCTGCACATTAAGCCCTAAACCATGGTTTGCAAAGCATGGTTGCCTGAGTTCACGCCACACACTGAAGCAAAACCAGAGGAACCACATTCTGGCTTAAGGGGAGGTAGGGGCGAGGTCTGCCTATGTACTCCAGGGGGGAAAGGCCCAGATGAATGGAATAAATAAAATAAAATCATTTCGAGTACAATTACCATCTTGAGATTCATAGTTCAAACTTCTCCTGCATTTTGCTAAGTAGCTCTACCCAACTTTCTACAAGACAGGGTGCAGGGTGGCCAAAGGGGCAGAGATGGGTGGGGGGAGATAGGCGGGTGGGGGGAAATGGAAACAGCCTCTTACCATACTGAGGCTTGGGGTGGGTCCTCACTTAACAACCTGCAATTCTCGGTTAACGACAGCAACCAGGACTGCCAGGATTGCCGTCGTTAAGCGATTCCCGGTCCTAACTGTGGTCGTAAGTCGAGGACTACCAGTAGACAGGCAGACTTCAAATATGGGGGAACAGAAAGCTAGTCTATTTCACAGGATGGTCCGAAAGATTACAAAAGGAGATGAAAGTTTTCTGCAATTAGGAAACACTTGGTAAATGCAGATCGCCTGGTTAAGACAGCTTTAGTCAGACACCAGTTTTTCTTTTTTTTATCATCCCAAACATATAAACTTTTAAATGAAAAAAAAAGTATATATTGCTCTTACTGGATATGCCCTAAAGTTAGGTTTTCCAGTTTAGGGGCTTTGGATTACATTTCCCATCACCTCCAGCCACTGGCTGGCTGGGAAGGATGGAATTGGAGTCCGATGCATCTGGGGGAGCTCCAGACTGAAAAACGCATCTGTCAGAATCACGTGGGCCCCTGCACGCTCCCCACCTGCAGTCAAACAACTTCAGCTTTGTGGTTTGGGGTCCAGCTTAACCCCATTGACTTCAAAAAGATTAACCCGGATCCTTTGGCTTAACAGGCTCTGGGGCCTGGCAGGCCCCCATCTCTCACCTCTGTTTTGTGGGTCAGCTTTTGAAGCAAGCAAACAAACATTGTTGGGCTACCCAGAGTCAGATTACAACTTCCATCATTCCTAGCAAAATAAGAATATTGGGAATTGGAGTCTCACATGTCTGTAAGGTGCCAGACTGAGGAAGCGTGGTTTAGAGAGTCCGCTTACCGCAGGAGATCCCCAAGTTCAAGTTCCTGGTGCAGGTTTGGAGGTCCCTGGGGCTAGCCTACCTCGCAAGGTTATCGGTAGGAAAAGATGCATGGAAAAAATGTAGATGAAAACAATAGCTAGTGCTAAGTGCTCAAAAGTTATTTGCTAGATAAGATGATTTTTTCCCCTCACAACCGATCATTTCAGGCTGCAAACACAGAACAGGGGGCTTAGCCTCCACTCTTAATGCAACACCATGAAACAGTTGGTTTGCCTTTGGTTTAGCGTGATGGGTGAATCCAGCCATGGTAATGTTTAAACCACAATTTGCAGCTTAACGTTTTGGCTCTGCATAGGTGAACCATCCACTATGACTTAATATGATGTTACAAAATCCTAGCTTAGCATTATGTGCGAAAGCGCCCTTTAAAATCTCTGTGTCAAAGCAAAATTAAACCCCTTCCTATGCCTAGAAATTAGCACGTTTGAGATTATAGCCTAGGTCCAAAATTTCTCTCCCAACATCATCGTTTTCAATACACAAAAATTCCCTCCCCGCAAAAGCGGGAAATTGTTCAAACATTTGATCTGAACAACTTAAAAAGGAGATCCGTCTGCACTAGAAATTAGGGCATTTCTGGTTTTACCGAACTCTGCTTGGTAGTGTTTCCATACGGCGCACACTTCCTGCCCCCAGACTTTACACAAAGATCCATGCACACTTCGAAGCACACCTCTGCAAACGTGTACCTCCTTCCACGTGCTTTTCCAAGCAGACACATTTCCACAAGCAAGCTTTCCAACAGCGAAGAGTTCCCTTTACGTGTTCCTGAGCACATTTTCTCCACATCGAGTGTTGCTTCCTAACATCCTGAGAGATGCAAATATTGCCAACTTATGCCTTCCGGGTTTCTCCATTACCTTTGGAAGTTCCAAAATCAGCAGATTTGCCTCAAAATTCTTTCTTATCCATGCCTAGGTCAGAAAAATCTTTTTTTCCCCCTCACTTCATCTGTTAGAAACACCAGACAGTTAGAATATCCAGTCCAGCAGCAGTGTTCCTGTTTTTTAATTTATGTATTTATTTTACCAATTGTCTCTCTCCTTTTTAATGCTGATCTTACGTTGTGTTAATATTCCTGTCTCTATGACAGTTTCTGCCTCTTTATTAGGTTTAAAAGCAGGCAGGGCCTGCCTTAAGCAAGGTTTTTAAAACATATAATGACTCGTAAATGAAACAAATAAAGAAGCTTTGCTGCTTGATAGGGAACATGAAGTACCATCAACAAGATATAAAGCAGAAAGTCAAGGCCCTGAAAACAGCGACATGACTTTAGCACCCGAGGCAGAAAAAACCTTCCGTATTTCTTTTTCCTTTTCAGCAGTAACATGGTAAAGAATTAAAGAGAAATGTTTGGGTCACTTCACCCAACAGTAGAGCCGGCTCTGAATTACACGCATGACCTTATAACCGTCTGCTATCCAACAGCCAGACAAGTCTCTACAACAAAGCCTTTTGACCAGGTTAACAAGCCACAGTTAGTGGGGTTGTACTAGTTTATCCATGTCTTGTTTAAACTAGGGTGTGTCAACTAGAAAGAGCCATCCTGGGCCAGACTAAATGTCCACTGAGTTCCACCAGATGCTGAAAACCATCACATATCCAGTGTCACCCATTATTCCCAAGCACCCTAAGAATGGAAAAAGAGACTTGGCAGAGGAAACTAAAGATAAAAATCCTTATTTCTTACAGGGGCCAAGCAAAATGCCTCTGGGTGGCCCGTTAACATCCTGGATACAGAAGACACCACCGAGTCCCGTCAAAGCCAGACAGGTGCACGATGCTCATCAGTTCGGCAGGTACGGCTTTGCGGCTGCGACCCCAACTGTCGGGATGCCCAGCGCAAGCCCCAGAGGTGTGGCTAATTGCAGGTTTTGCAGAAGTCTGTCTTTAGAGCACGACTTTCCTTGCAAGGCAACTGGTTGGACGGCTTTAGGATTGAACTGCCCTCTCTCCAAAGGGGGAATTACGGAGTAGTAAATTTTTTTCCCCTGGGTTATCAGCAACATCACATCATTTCTAGAGAGGACTTTGCTAGGAAGGAAATTAAACAAGGTATAGGGGAAAACATCCCCTATATTTAAGAAATAGAAGGAAGTAAAAGGAGGAGGAGGAGGAAAAGGAGAAGGAAAAGGAGAACAGGAAGGAGGAGAAGAAGGAGAAGGGGAAGGAGAAGGAGATGGAGGAGAGGAGGAGGAAAAAGAAAAGAAAAAGGGAAAAGAGTAAATCATTTTCTCTTTAAGCCTGGTCACTTTTTGTCAATCCAGGATAGGCCACTTTGCTTGGACTTCATTTACATTTCTCACTGGATTGAAATTCACCTCCAGGGCACGTGCTTAACTTTCCAGCCATGTGCTGGATCAATTTCCCCTTTGGTCACAGGAAAAACAATAAAACTTTCAGAGGCACGCCCCAGCATTTCTGCAGCCACAGACAGCTCACGTAGAAACTCCCAGGGTGTGAAAATAAGCAATTTGCAGTGGAGAAAGGACATCTGCATCAGGGCCATTGGGTACGATTCGACGTAATTCAAGGTGCTCCATCTAGTGCGGGCCAAAGTCGAAAGGATCCTCCCAGTTTGGGGTGGGAGGTTCCATTCCTCTGCGCAGAGCAAAGAGATGCCTTTTCAGCCCGTCCCAGATTTCCCCAAACATCTATGTTTTCTCTGACCCCAACAATCAGGCCCGCAACATTAACAGGGCAAGATCTGGGCTGGCATCGTTTAGTTGCTGCCCAGGTGGACTCAGCACCCAGGAGCCGAACGGTGTAGAACCGAGACCAGGTTGAAAACAGGCGGAGAGCAAAACTTGCAACTCATAGCTCAACGCTGGATCTTTTTCGCAGTCACGTTTCCCTGCTAAAAGTGCATTCTTCCAATGCACCCTGGGCAGAGGGGTGGGTCCGAGAGCCCCAGGGGCTGGGTGAAGCTTGGCAGGCCCTGATGCCAGGGCTCGGTGGTGGCTGCTTTGCCCCCAGGAAACCCAGATCCGGCTCCTCTGAGAAGGGCTGGGGAAAATCCCATTGAAGGCTCAGCCAGGAGTGCAGCGAATTCTCAGAGCGCTACATCAGGGCTTGGACTCCGATATCAGAATCTGGATTCTCTCTGGAAAACTTTAATCCCTGGATGTTCATTTGCTTTGAAAGCAATTCACCAGCAGAACAAAATCCACAGAACCTGATGGAGTAGCCACCGATGCAACGCCCTCTTCCTAGAAGACCAAGCCCCACGTGTGCCAGACGCTGCCCCTGCGAAGCGGGTGGGTTGATCTCTTGCCCCTGAGACTGCTCCCCTCCCTTGGGGTTTCGTGGCGACTTCGAGCCAGCCCAATCGCAAGGCGAGGCAGTGCCCCTCCTTCGGGGGCAGAGTTTGGGTTCTGTGAAGGGTGGCAAAATGGGGAAGGAGACCAGCTGGGGGAATCCCCTTTCGCAAACCGGGTTGAAATGCTGGTCAGCTGCCTGACCACAGGCAGTGCGTGGTGGGAACCCCAGTAGAACTGCTGAAACTTCTTGGGCGCGCTGAGCGGGCAGGACTGTCGAGAATCGGGGTGGAGAAGAGCCCCTTGCCCCCTCCCCAAACCTTGCCCCAGGGTCCCCCCCCCACTCTTGGCCCCCTTGGGCGATGATACTCACATCATCATCTTGCACGCTCAAGGGGATATCCAGCATGCACATCTGAAAGGGTTGCACCAGCGCCTTCTGCATGCTGAATAAAGGCTTGGTCTCCATCTTCCAGCCTTCTCTGCCCAGAACACGCCAAGCCCTGCTCCCACCTGGAGCCCAGACCTATGGCTGAATCCTAGCAGCTGGGCACCTTCTCCCAACCGCCACTGAAACAGGTTGCCCACGGATGAAGCAGCAGCAGCTCCAAGCTCTGATTTCCTTCCCAGGGCAATTCAGATGCCGGCATGAGTGAGAGATTTCCGTCTGCGTGCCCGGGCAGCGGTACATCAGGGATCCCGTCCCCGTCTCTGGCAGGCACCTCCCTTTTGGCTCAACCCGCCTTCCCTCGGCTCGGCTTCCCCCGGATTCCTGCTGCGCCCAGCTCCCCAGCCTTATCGAAATGCTGGGCACTCGGGCTGAGTGCGCGCATTGTCTCCGAAGACACAACAGGTTCTTCCTTTCGGTCGGCTGGAGCGGCTACCGCAACGGTGCGTCTCTGCAGTCATCCATGGCCGACAGCTTGGAAAGGGGTCGGGTGGAGGGGGGGGGAGGTTGACGCAGCCACCTTCTTCTTCTTCGCCTCCCTCCAGCTCGTCCCCCCCTTGCTAGGAAATGAAAACGCCCTCCCTCACCCTCAAGGGCACGGCAGGGGTGGGAAACCTGAATGATATTCCCTGGCTGAGCATTTCTCCAGGAAAATCCGACGCCCGGGGCTTTCCCCTTCTGCCAAAGAGAGACGCATTGCTCTGTGGGGCGGTAGGCATCGTTGCCCACCAGCGGCGCAGACTGGCCCTTGGCTCGTGGGTTTCTGAGGAGGGCAGGGCCTTCTCAAGCCATGGGGCAGAAGTGAGGGAGGGCAGCATTGGGATGGGCACGAAGTCGTGCTTTCCCCCAGCAAAGGTATGATTAGCCCTTGAAGAATGAGCACGTTATTGGTAACAGAAGCAAAGAAGAGACATTGGAAGATCTTCATTCCCCGCCCCACCAATTAATCAACCCAGTTTGAGTTGATTAATCTAGCAATGGATCCTCAGAGCCCTCCTTGGTTTCACACATTGGCATGGGGTGACAGAATAACCCCAAATCCACAAAGCCACACCACGGCATAAACAGACAGTCCGAAGCAGGGTTGCCTACTCTCCCCCAACCCCGCTTCGGTGCCTCCGACCACACCTACAACTTGAAAAATGGGAGGTGGAATTTTATTTGCTCATCTTGTGCACCGTGCTGCCCGTCCACGAGCTAAATCCCCTCCCCGCCACTCTTCCCTAGATGTCCAGTCCCCAAAACAAAACAAAAATAGCATTGTTTTCAACCCATGTGCAATTTCCTATCCACTTTAACCCAGGTTGCCAGCAACAAACAGACATGACAAGGAAGTTGCTCCAAACCGACAGGGAACTCTGTTGGCAGGAAGTTGCCACCCTAAACATCCTTAATCCAAAGGAAATTCAGGCATTAAACATACCGAGGACAACCAGGACGGGCCAAGAAGCACCGTTAAGAAACATCACAGCCCTTGCTTGTTGTCAACTGTAAAAGGATGAAAGGCGAGGGGGGGAAATGACCTCTTTCTTGTTTTTAAAATGCTGAGAAAAAGCTGGTTGGCTAAGGAGCGCTATCTGGAAACCAAGCTGCTCTTACATTATTTTGAAAGCTCACTGGTGGGGCATAAGCTGGAAATTCCTCTATTTCCTCGTCTCTCCAACCTGGGCTGAAGAGGTTTGCAGAGAGAAGTTACTCAAGAACTAAGCAGTGCCATCGAGGGAGGGGTTCGGGCCCAGGTCCAGAGCCCTGTTGAGTCTGTGCTCAGCTCCCAGAAAAAGAAAAGTAAAAAAGGATTATTTAAAGGGCCTGGCAAGAGGTAGCTGCATTGTAGAAGCAATTATACAGCTATTTCTCTTTTTCTCTCCTCGGCAGTTTTTAAGATTGTTTCTGGTAAGGAAGGGGGGGGGGAAACTAGGAGGGGTGGTAGTGGAAATAAACTTCTGTGAATGAGGCAGATTTATTAAAAAAAAAAACAACAACTCATCTTGAAGTTTTCCCAAAGAGACGCATCTAAGCCTGATTTTTTTCCCGCAACAGCCTCTCGGCAGATGGCTAAGACCAAAGGCAGGGAGCAGAAAAACAAGCCCAGGATCTGTGTCCTGACGTCACAAGCCAGGGTCCGTAAGCCAGGATTCTGAACTTGCAGCAAATCATGATTTCAAATTTTGGATTGTTGCTAAAAAATTGTTTTTAAATGCACGCTTTCTTGAGAGCATTTAAGGTGGTCAGCAAGCAGATCTCAATAGGGCTTAGCACAATGTGGGAACGCTGCTTACCTAGATCAGAAAGATCCATTCTCACATTTGCCAGATCGCAGCTGATCAATCATCTGAGGGACACAAATCCGTGTGCAATGTGCTTTTCTGCTCAAAACCCCCAGCCAGCACGTGTGCAAACCCAGCCAACACACGTGTAAAATGAATTTGCCATCCAGCCCTCTCCAGCCGCCACCCGCCCCTTGCATAATCACAAGGCTTTGATTTGCAGGTAAAGCACACAAATTTGTGGGTGTTCAAGAGGGGGAACCCTGTTTGTCTCACCGACCCAACTGGAAAGAAGCTGGGAAGAGGACTTGCGGGTCCAAAGAGGTGTGCAAAGCTGGTGGCATTTTCACAACCGTCCCCTGAATATGACACAACTCCAGGGGACGCTGTCAGTTCCCAAATGGGAGAAAACCAGCCGTGGGTTTTCCCCATCTCTCTCCATCTTCCGTGCTGGGTACCACACACGGTCGTCATGGAGACGGCCACATGCGATGTTGCCATGCTTACCAACCATGCGATGGGCCGGGAACGACCCTTGTGTGTACAAGGAGAAAAAATTGCTCAGAAGTAGTACGCCGTGCAACAAACGGAGAGTTTGTGTCCTCTAGGAACATCAAGAAGGAAATAGGAAGCAGCTGAAATTTGGTTTATACCTCTAAGCCACAATCTTTTAGGGCCTGCGGGGGTCTGTACGCAACATCTCAGGGATCGGGGAAACCAACATACCAAAATCTGTCGGGGGTCATCCAAAGCTGCTCCAAATTCAAGAGGATGGAGGGGATTCAACAGTCCCCCCGCCCAAATTAGGCTATCGGTAGCCAAAACGAGAATGGCATCATTTGTGCCCCCCATTTAACCTGGTTACCGAATTACGCTGCTTTTCTAGGTTTCCACAAGGGGCTGACCTAGAATCGAACGATAGCTTCGTGCCTGAAACTCACCAAGGTGAACATTAATCAAGCTTGGCATTGCGTGAATGCAGCCCCTGAGTCTTGAACTGACCTGGTTACACACGCCGTAAAGCGTAGCCACACTCCTGCACACACCCGCACACAGAGCGAGAGAGAGCGGTGGTTTTTGGCCTGGAGCGGCCACGCCCACCACATCTCTTAAATTTAAGCATGTTCCTTTCCCTGCCTCAGTCCCAAAGGGGTTTCCCCCTTTCGCAAGAGGACAGAACGAGAATTTCCCTCTCTCGTTCTCCTTGATGGATGAATCTGCCCTACAGGGCACAGAGGAAGGAAAAAAGGAGTGCCCGCTGCACCAGCCTGTCGTTGGTCCATCCACCCATGTCGAGGGAAATGGCACGTCCCCTTGCAGAAGAAAATCGTGCAAGGGGAGACGGTCCAAGGCAACCCCAGGGATTTGGGGTTTCTGCCCCCGTTTTCCCCGAGACAGAATTCAGAACGTGATGGTGCAATCAATGCTAGGTGTGTTTCCTTGGAAGTGGACTCTCCCAGCTGGAGCTCAGTTTGGAAATACCTCGGGAATAATGAGCAGCACGGAAACCTGGAGTTCGGGACGGGCTAGAAAATCAAATTTCCAGGCCCCTCGTGGGAGCAGCGTTGGAATCAGCGACCTGGACGTCAACCCTCATTGCTGCTCTGCTCCCACAGCGCCGCTGAGTTCGAGCTCAAGGCGTCCAAACTTCCCCAAAATACACCGTCTTGAATAGAAAACAGATTGTGCTTTCGAGGAATCGGCTGCAATGAATGATGGAGGACGGGTTTACTGAAGGGCTGTGCTAGCCCAACGGAACCTCCAGGGATGGGAGCAGTCTCTCTCAACGTCGAATGTGAAGGAATGGCAACCGGGCGAGGCATTGAGAGGGAGGAACTGGGGGTGCTTACTAGTTCAGGTCATGTTTTATCTATGTAGGAGATAGGCAGCTCAGTAGCTGCACGGGCTCAGTGGAACCTCCAGGGTTAAGGGCAGGATACCTTAGATGCCAAATACGGGGCTGACATTATGGGAAAGAACTCAGCTCCAGCCCTCTTTTCAAAATTCTGGAAACATTAGGGTGGGTTCCACCTTCTTGGTGAGCCCTCAAGCCTGAGAAACATTTTTACTCATCACTAAGAGGTGGAAGCAACATAGTAGGTTAAAAAAAAAAGAGAGTCACATAAATGTATTGCAAATATATATGCATCTGAATAATATTGGTGTTAGGTAAATATATATAGATGTGTAACTATTTACAGTTATAATGATCGTCTATGCTAAGTTTTTATTTCCTTTGTTGTATTTTTGTCACTTCTTTTGTACAGGTAGTCCTCGCTTAACGACCGCAATAGGGACCGGAACATTCGTTATTAAGCGTTATTAAGGTCGCCTTTGCTCTGGGTACCCCCTGGTAGGCTAGGAGCCCCCAAAACGAATGAAAGGGAAACGAAAAGGACCATTGGTGCTCCTGTTTTTCCCAACCAGCCCTCTCCCTCCCCGCTGCCCAACTTTAAAACTGTAGCTTCCTTGGGGCAGGGACCCGCATCCAAGATTCATTTGGCAGCCCGCTCGCAAGATGAATTTTCAAACCAGGCCTCCAGCAGCATTAAAACCTGAACTGCCAATCTGTTTTTAATTAACTAGCAGAAAGCGGGGCTTGAGAATCCTAACTTTTAATGCCATTTGCTTAATCCCCATTGTGGGAGTCATCCTCCTCCTCTCCCCATTGATGGGTATTCCAAGGAAGAACCGTTCGGTCTCCCCAGAGTTGCAAAATCAGAGCTTCTGGGCGTTTTCTGAAATTATGCAAAGGGGTACCAGGCTTTCAGCTGGCTCCCTCTGCCAGGGCTGAAGAGAAGCAGGAAG